AAAGATCTGGATTCAAATCTCTGATACTTTCTTAGGATTTTCATACCATTGTTCAGAAATGAGACAGGTGTGTATTTTTCTTTCTTGAATTGACTTTGTTAGCTTTTGCTTGATTATCAGTGTTAATCTAGCTTCATTTGATGAGTTGGGTACTTTGTAATCTTTTTCTGTTTCCTGGAAGAGTTGGTACAAGAGTAGAATTTTTCCTTCCAAGAATTTTTGGTGGTGGCCACTATCAAGTAGGTACACACAAATTTAGGGCTCTGTTACCTTCCTGGTGAATCAGGCCTTTTATGATTATGAGGTGACTCTCTTTATCATTAATAACGTTTTGGGGTTTTTTTGCTCAAGAGATTATTTTGTCTGCTATTAATATATGTAGAAGCTTTCATTTGGTGTTTACGTGGCATATCTTTTTCCATTTTTTTCTTTCAATCTTCCTGTATCCTTATGTTTTAGATGTGTCTTGTATAAATAGCACTTTATTGTTGGTTTTTAATCCAGAGTGACAATCTTTGTCTTTCATTAAAATATTTAATCTATTAACAGCTAATATAATTACTGATATATTTGGATCTAAATCTATATCTTATTTTGTGCTTTTTTTTCTGTCTTATTTTTCTTTTCTTTCCTTTTTAAAAAAATTATTTCGGATTATTTTTTATCATTCAGTTTTTCACTTGCTTTGTAGATATGCATATTCTTTCTATTGTTTTTATTATTAGCCTATGGCAACGTACATCATCCTTAACATACCAAAGTTTAATATTAATGAATTTCTTTCACTTCACCTGAAAAGTATAAAGACATTAGAACAATCTAAACTCATTTAAACCTTTTTGACTGATGTGCTATTGTTCTCATTCTAGTTTTCAAAACCAACGGACTTAAGAATCTCTTTGGGGAGATGATTAGGTTTTGCTTGCGTGTTTTTTAAATAAAATAAATTAGAATATAACTTGAACCCATGTTTTAACAGTCATACATGAGACACAATTAAAATATTTTTTCAAAGATATTTTCCATCTCTGACATTTCACAAAACAAAATTTGTGTGTCTGAGGCTGAGAATAAAAATCTAAAGAGATAGGTCCTACCAATAATGGTCCCAGAGTTTAGTGGGGCACCAGGCATGTAAACAGGTAATTTAAGTAAACTGTAACAAATATTATAATAGATAGATGTATATTATGTCAAGTTGACATGAAAGTAGAAAATGACTAATAGCAAATCTGAAGAAAACTTCACAAAGGAGATGCCATTTGACGTAGTCTTAAAATACTATCAGGAATTTTCAAACTGTTAAAAGAATGGAAGCAATTCATGGCAGAGGGAATAACGTGCAAAAGCCTAGCAGTGTGAAAACATGGGGACATGTGATTGGTGACAAGGGAATAGTTCTAAGAACCTGCAGCTTAGTTGGGGCAGCTGAGAGGGACAGATGGGAGGTAAGGCTGAAAAGGCTTGTGGGAGCAGATAATTAATTAAATTCCTTGAATGACAAGTTAGGGAGGTTGGATTTTTGTTGTCAATGAAGAACCATCAAGGGGCCTTAAACGTGGAAGTAAAATGAAAAGATGTTTGCTGTCGAGTTTTCTAGCGCTGGTGGGAAGGGCATCTTGGAAGTGAGACAGACCAAAGGCAGGAAGGTAATTATGAAGTTACTGTCATGTTACAATTGTTTAGCCAGCAAACCTGAACTAAAGCACGTGAAGAAGAAAGAGGAAGATGATACTAAAAAATGACTGTGTGGGGTTTCTACGTGAGTAACCTAGTAGATAATAAATATGAGGATAAGGCCTGGAATGCTTAATCTTTTCTTTGGCTTCGTGGATGTGTGGATTATATTTATAAGAAGTGATTTAATGTCCTTGTATACTAATTCCATTCTTTTAATCACTTCTGGGTCTGTTTCTATGGATTGATTTTTCTTCTCATTATGGGTCATATTTTCCTGCTTCATTGCATGCCTCGTAATTTCTTATCGAATGCCAGAATTTGACCTTTTCGGATGCTGATTACTTTTGTATTCCAGCACATATTCTTTCTTGAGTTTTGTCCTCAATCGCAATTAAGTTACTTGAAAAGCATTCACCCGTTCAGAGCTGGCTGTTTAGCTTTGTCGGTAGGGCCAGAGCAGCTCTACTGAGCTCCTTCCCTGACGGCCTGTGAGTTTTGAGGGTTTTCACTGTGTCTGGTAGCAATGGGAACTCTTTCCAGCCCTTCGTGAGGCGTTGTTCTCTCTAGTCCTTTCCGGCAGTTGCCTCCCCAGCCTGTGGGGCCTCTGCTGGTCTGCTCGCACTCATTCGCTGAGCATACCGAGCTGAATACTGCAAGGAGGCCCTCCGAAGACTCCCAGAGCTCGCTCTCCGCGTGTCTGTGCAGCTCTGTTTCCTCTAGGTCTCCATCCCATGGGCTCCGGCTGCGTTGCCCTTTCTGGATCCCCAGCTCTATCCCCTCAGCTTGATCTCTGGACTATACCTGACTTCCTGTTCCATATAGTGCAGCCTTGAACCTGGCCAGTGAGCCAGGCAGTGAGCGGGGCCGGTCCTGGAGGTCGTGCCTTTCGTTCCCATCGGTCAGGGACTGCTGTCCTTTTTTGCCTAATTTCCAATGTTTTAAAATCATTTTTTAAATATATATATGCTTTTTGTTCAGTAAGGTAAGGTCTCTGTTATTCCTCATGTTTTCTTCTAAATCTTGGTTTTATACACTTATATCTTTAATCCATCTGGAAGTTATTTTTTGATGAGAGAAATATAGTTTTCCTATTTTTTCCAGTTAGCCAGTTGTGCAACATCATATTTTGAATTCTCTTCTTCGCACCAGGTTTGGAATGTCACCTTATCATAAGCCAGACTTTGATAGATATTTGCGTCTGTTTCTGAACTCTTTATTCTTTCCCTTTACTTTTCCATTTTTTTATTGAACTAAAGTTTGTTATTTAAAGTTTGTTATTTACAAACTTTACTTGTTAAAGTTACAAAAAATATGGCATTATCTAATAGAACTAATTATCTCTCACTTTTTATTTTCAAGATTTCCTTGAATATGCACATGAGTTTTAATATATTAGGATCGCATTAAGTGTATAGAACCTAGACAAGTTTGAAGGTGACAAAGAGAAGAGTCGGGTCGTATAAGTTCAGCTACTTCAATTTTCAAGTAGGCGGCAAAGACAGAAGCTGGGATTGGGTCGGGTGGAGGTGAGATACAGACGAGGGGTAAACAAAGTTGGAGTGAATCATTTGCGTTATAATGAGTGGGGCTGTTGGATAAGGAGAGCAGTAGAGGGTATACAGAACACTGGCTGAATATCACCGGCCTAAAAGTGAAGAGTCATCGGTGGGTATTTGTACTTCCATGTTTCCTTTCTCTGAAAATGTAAAACATGCCCCTACACAGTCCCAGAATCAATATTTGTTATTAACAAATCATGCCTCCCCGCAAAAACAGATCTCTCTGGTCATCCAGTTTCCTTGAAAATGCCTGTCTCTGTAGTTCACTGTCATGTCACCAGTGCCAGACATATGGCCTATCCATAGTTGGCAATGAATAAATATTAATGGAATGAATTAGTTCATTTCTGAACAGCTTCCTCTGACTTCTGCTTAAGATGCTATGTTGTTATCTCTGCCAGTCTGTCTTCAGATTCAAGGTAGTCTTTATCCAGCCAAAAATCCAAATAGTCACTCCTGTAATTGTCTGGAAATGAGGAGCTTTTGGTGGATGTCTTCTGTTGTACAAACTGGCACAGTGTCTTAAATTATTATGTGAGAAAAGTCTTCTTCAATCTTAGACTTCTTAAACCTTTATTCCAAGTTATCCAAGTTATTCATTAAGTAGGCTCATGGGAGAACTAAGTAAGGTAAAGAAGAGTAAGGCAGAAGTAACCCAATTCCTTTCAACTGCTCAGAGGTGTTCATCTCAAAAACAGCTATAAAAAGGGAAGAAGTCCACGTTGCATTGTGCTGTTCTACTTAATTCAGCCCTTAAGGAACTGCATACTCCACTATTTGAACCACTCAATGGTTTTGAAAAGTAAACTTAGTGAAGTATAGCTTCCTGATAATCGTCTATTGGATTCCATGTAAACCAGCATATGGTTTAGATTGGTATAATACCTTCACCCCGCACCATCTCGAGGTAATTTCTGGTGGAGAAAAATAGGGTGCTCTGGTTTCAGGGACAAACTTACTCTTCTTCGGGTAGGAAAATAGATTTTAAATACCCAAAGCAGTCTCCATGCAAGGGTCAAGTCTTAACAGGAAAAGGAGAATTTTAAAAATTCAGGACCCACTTAGACATTTGAGATCTTGGACCGATGAGAACTTTTGTAGATCGAGCAGATTGATTTGGATCCTACTTCCTCCATTTTAACACTTACTTTATTTTATTTTAAGGAAAACAAGGCTTGAAATGCTTTAATACCCCCTTGGAGACGGTTTGGCTATTACATAGCCCATAAAAAGTAATATTTGGATGATTTAAAGGGAAATGAATCAGAAATTGAAAGGTTCAGTTTTCCTCGTATGACACAAGACTTTTTTTTCCCCCAGAGTCAAGAAAAATGACCCTTAGGGTAAAACAAATCTTGGATTTTATTGAAACAAAAATTATTATCTATACATGTGTAGATAGTAATGTCTGTTTTAAAATTTTGCTTTAAAAACATTTGGACACTCAATCTTACATTTTCCTATGGATTAACAGGGGATCTAACAACTTTCCCAATTTCTGCAGAAAGGACGGTTTCCTTGCATCAAATTCTGTATTTCAAAGCCAGGTGGAAATGTGATCTCAGTTCCCCCAGGCACTGTTTTCATGAGGTTCTCTCAAAAGCTATTTTAGGCTTCTCAGTTACACACCCCAAGGGGGAGTGATGGTGGTATAGTCCAGAGTATCCATGTAACTGGTTGACAATATTTTAAATGTCATTATTCCTCATCCATTTAATATTTATTTCTTCTTAAATTTAAACAATTTTTTTTTTCATTTAGGCATCGGCCTTGCGTGGTATAAACATTTCTGTGTGGGTTAAGAAGTGGCTTCACCCTTGACCGATACAAAGGACATGTGAGTCGACAAACCTGGTTTTCTTTCCTTGCTTTGCTATTACTTCTCTTGGTGACACTGGGCAAAGTCCATCATGTTTTGGGCCCTGGTCTCCTCATCTGTAAATTAGGGTGGTTAGATGATCTATGGGGTTCTTCTCAAAGCTGATGTGCAATTTGGGCCCATAGTAATTATTCATTACATGGTAACGTTTATTTTTACTATGAGCTTCACTCATGGTGAAATTGGAATATCTTAATTTTAGATTCCTAAAGAGCCTAGAAGTGACTCAGAAGTCTTGGATTTGTGTCTTGCCTCAGTATTCACTAGCTGGGAAATTTTCTCCACTTTTGAAAAACGCGATTTCTTCATCTATAAAATAGGGATAAAGGTAATACTATGAGGCGCAGTTCTTTGTTGCGAATAATGGGATCCACTGTGGCTAGTTTAGGCAGAAAAATTATTTGTTAAAAATATTAAGCAACTCACAGAATTCTCGAGAGAGCAAGAGAAGCAGACGTAGAAGAGATGAGGCCAAAAACAACAGCAGATGAGACTGTAGCGTTCGCTCCAGTGAAAACACATCGCTGCCAACACTTGGCAACAACTCTGGCTTCTCGGAGAGACACTGTAGCTTGCACTGGTCACGCTTGGTCCTGGGTGCCAGGAGCCCCTGTGGCCGTGTCTGCCCGGGGTGGATGCCATTCATGTCTGCCCCTTTGTCGCATTAGCTTCCAAGCGGAGGACTCGTGGGTGTGTCTGACTGGCAACACCTAGTTCACATGTCTCACAGCAGCAACGAGAGAGCCTTGAGGCTGTGACTGCTGGCTCTGTCTTGGGGGTTACTATGTAGGAAACTCCCAAAACTCAGAGAAATTGTTCAAAAGGTGTTAGCTTTAAACTGCTCTACCCAGGTGCAAATCAGTGCCCCAGGTAAGGACGCCTGCATTGTATGAGTGATGGTTACTACCTTTTAAACCTTATTTTATTATTCAAAGAAAAATAAGGTAGATGAAGCTTATACGTGTAAATTGCCCAGAAATCTAGCCAGCTGTGCTTTCTTTTTTATTTTGGATTTATATATTCTTATTATAAAAAATTCACGAAGTACAGAAAAATTATAAGGAAGAAATAAGTATCATCCAATAATCGTACCAAAAGATAACTGCTCTTGCCATTTTAGTTCATACCCATCTAGAATAATTATACAGTATGTACATTATACATATATATCTATATCATATGTACATACACACAAATAAATTTGTATGTGTACACACATAGTAATTATATGTGATTCGTACCCAATTAAAAAAATTTAAACAATACGTTGTGGGCATCCTTTCATGCTAATAAATATTAATCAACATCATTATTTTTAATGGCTGTATATTGTGCTATTATATGAACATACAATAATTTTTTTACTTGACCATCTATTCATGGGTACTTTCCAAAATTTTACTTTTATCAAGAGACTTATGATGAACATTCACGTAGCCAAATACATGCTTGGAGTAATTCCTTATGACGAATTTAGAAAAATAGGATTGCTATTTCGAGTATATACTAGTCGAAAAAAACTTTTGGTATATGCCATCAAATTGGCTTCAGAAAATCGGTAACAATTTGTACTTCCACAAGCAACATTTGAGTCTGAATTTCCCCACATTATCATAATACTTGGTATTATCAATTGTTTTTATTTTAGTCTATTAGGAGAAAATTATCGTTAATATTTAACTTGCATTTCTTTATTAAACATGTTTCATTTATACTTATTTTCCACTTACATTTCTTTATTTGTGAACCATGTGTTTATGTCCACTAATAGATTGAATTTTAGATTTTAAATTTAAATTTTAAAGGCTCTCTCTCTATATAAAGATATTAAATTTTTGTCTTCTATGTGTTCTCCAAATACCTTTTCCAAGGTTGTCATGTCCTTTTATTAAAATCGAAGTGAAATATACACAGTAAAGTACACAAATCTTGTTTACAACATGGTCTGTGTGGATCACGCAACAACCATCTAGATCTAGAAACCTTTCCTGCTCCCCAGAAGGGTCCCTCATGTTCCTTCCCAGCTAGCACCTCCCCACAGAGGACACCCCTGTCCTGACACCGCAGCTTAGCATTGTCTGTTCTTGAACTGCTATCGATGGAATCGTACGTGGAAAGAAGTCTCTGGCTTCTATGTACCGTCATGTCTGGGAGAGTCATCTACGTTGACACAGGTGAAGCAGTTCATTTTTCTGAGCCACAGCTTGCCCTTCAGGAAAGTGCATAATAATGGATAAGAACTCATGAGAATGGATAATCAGTGGGTGATAATAGTACTTATGTAGTGGTTGTGGAGGTAAATGCTGACGTAAGTGACTGAGTTATGTGCAGATACGTGCAGTTACTGTGAGCACTAGAACGGTGATTTCCCCGTGGTGAATATTGTACTTAGTAGATGGTAGCCGCGAGTATTACACTACTGGGTTAGGTTTGCTGATTTTTTTTATTTAGGGTTTTTGTAGCAATATTTGTAAATGAGGTTAGTCATAATTTAGCATTTGCACATGTATGTGCCAGTCTTGTTGTATTGTTTGGCTATTGGGTTATGCTAGTAAGTGGTACATTCACCTACCTTGGTGTTCTTTCTAGAAGTCATGGGATGACTCTCACCTGTCAGATCTGCCGACTTTTCTCCATCACTGCCTTCTCCACTCTGGTCCTCGCCTCTATCGTCACTCCTTTTGTCTGCTAAGAGAGTCACCTAATGGTCTCCCAGTTTCTAAACCCATTGCACTTAGGTTAAAATCTGAGATCCTTATCAAGGTCCACCAGGCTCCTCGTGTTACGGCCCTGCCTGCCTCCCCATCCCTGGGGTGCGCCTGTGTCCCTCTCACCCGTGTGCTGTGGACACACTCCCTGCCCAGCAACACACTCTCATCCTTAGCCTGGCCAACCCCTGCTTACTCTTTCTCACCGAAGCCTTTCCTGATACAGCAATGTTAAACAGATCTCCCGATGTAATCACTCATCTTGCCTTTTTCTTTTCGTTCTTAGCATTCACAACATGAGCAGTTGTGCTTTTATTTGTCTTTTGGTTTAATATCTGCCTCTTAGCTCTAGGAAGTACTATTTTGTTCACCACTTCATCGAGCATAATGCTTTCATATGCAAATTGCTCAATAAATACTTATTGAATCAATGGCTCCCGGTCTAGTGATGGAGACAGATACATAGGCAGTAGCAGTGAGAGGAAAAGCCGAAGCAGATGCATGGAAATAGATGGCGGGGGCACAGGGAGGAGGACAGAAACTGTGCTGGGGACCCCCATCCCCGCCATTGGCAGGTTACAGAGAGAGCAGCTCATTGATTAACGAACCGCCTCTGAGATATTATTCTCTCATAGCTGATATGTCGATGGCCTCATACTGCTGTGTAACACACGGGGATGGATTTGGGTCCATGCCAGATAGTTGACGCACAAGTCCCAAGTGACTCAAGGAGGCAGAAATGCGCCCGCGCTCTCAGCTCACACACAGAGCACAATGGCAGCCCTGAAGGGGCAGAAGCCCTGTGCACCCACGAGCCCTGTTTATTTTCTCCTCCAGCAGAGCGGGTGGCATAGGTCAGCTGGAATGGCGCATCCTGGTGAATATTTATTGACGCAAGTGTTAACGCTGACAGACATGTGGACCGGCAGACACAGAGGCCTCACTTCTCTGCTCCCAAGGTTGTGACATGGCTGACACTTCCCCACACGGGTCCTGACTTCTGCAGCTGCTGCTGGAGGTGGCTGGTGTCCCCGTGGTGGGGGTCAGCACAGACAGCGTGCCTCGTGGCTTCCACGCTGCCACTCCGGCCTCCACCCAGCGGTGGTCTCGGTGCTTCCTGTCCCCAGCGCACACGCACTGTCGCCCAGCCGGGCTCTGTCCCAGCCTCTTCTCTACCAGCTCCTCCGCCTCCCCCCGATTTCCACTGCAGGAGTTACAGGCGGCCCAGCTAACTGCATTTAAAGAGGGAAGTCCTGGGTGACGCCAGGACTCACCTTGGTGGCAAAGCAATGGGTTCTGCTTGTGCTATAAAAAAGAATTGCGCAGTCACAAACATGACCTTTTTTCCTCTTGTTCCTAATGTTTTCCTCTCCGTTCTTTAGATTTTCTTCCCGTCTTTCCCATCATAGCTGACCTTATTTGGTGTATTTCATTTTTACTTTAAATCCTTTTAGTATAAGGTAACAGAAAATCGTAAAAAGCAAACATGCAGGTTAAAGCAATCGTTTTAAGGCTAGCACTCTCGTGAACACTCCCCATGAGAGGAGAATTCTTCCAGTGACACCAGAAGCCCCCTCTGCGGGCCCCCGCCAGCTGCCACCCCTGCTTCCTGCCAGGGGACCTGCTGTCCCATCGCTGCGTCCATCCCCACTTTACGGTCTCATCACCTAAGGGTGCGTCCCCAGAACTCCAGTTCAGTTTTGCCTGGGTTTTTCTTTTTAAAAACATATCTTAAGCATCCTTTAATCCACAGGTTTTCCGCTCCATCTCCTCATTTCCCTTACCACCCCTTTAATGAAAATGCGCGATCACTGATCTGTCGCGTTTCCTGCGGTCTGGACTTTGCTGCTCACTTCCCTAGAGCAGAGTGTGGTCTGTTCCTCTAGCGTCTGAGTTCCACTTATCCCAATCCAGGTTCCAGGTTTTCTTGGGGGATGGGGGGAGTATGACAAGCTCTGAGTTCTTCATCAGGAGGATGTATGTCTTAACGTCTTTCTTTTTGTGATATTAGTGAACGCTTTCTTAATTGATTAAGATTACACTGGTATTCTAGTTCTGTTATTCTTTATTCATGAATTTGTTGAAATACTCTAATTCAGTACCCATATATTTTTTTTTTCAGTGTTACAATTTGCATAGGAAAGGCAGGAGAAAAGCTATTTTCCAAAAAAATGGCTGGTTCCCTAGATATTTGTTTTTTTACGGTTAACTGTAAAGAAGTTAACTGTAAAAATCCTGTATTGCATGATT